TTTACTTCATGCTAATGCCTGAAGCACAGCTGCATAGACTGTTCTTGGTTGATATTTTATTTCTCTCAACACCTTGACTATGTCACAGGCATGACAGCCTTCATTGTTACTAATGAGAAACCACTGGTTTTCTTACAATGATAAATTGTTTTTCTCTCGTTGTTTTGAAGACGTTTCTCTTTGTCTCTAACTTTAAGCAATTTGATTATCATATATTCAGGTTTAGATAGCCTTGAGTTCAATTTATTTGGAATTTATTCTTATTCTTTGATACATGGTTGAGTGTTTTTCACCCAATATGGTAAGTTTTCAACTATGTTCCTTCCTTTTCTTCTGGAACTGTCTTTTCATGTACAAGCAATCCTCCTGTTGCAAAGGTCTAACTTCAGTACCTGTTGTTACAACCCAACTTCCCTGTATCTTTCCTTAAGCACAAGCCCAGAGACCATCCACAGAAAGGAGTCACATGACATCCTGCCTTACCCCTGACTCTTACCACAGAAGCTAGTGGGGGTTCCCGCATTAACCTGGCCCCAATAACCCAGGTGCCTTCCTCTGGAGAAGTGATGGATGACAGCTCCTCAAACCAGGCACAAGCTCCATTTAGAGCTGGAGGATCTCCAAACTGAAGCTGAAAGCACCAACCAAGTTTTTCCCAGCCACGCATAGCTTTGGCATTGTCCAAAATTGGACGCAGCACAATGATGCCGATTCCGACTCAGACCTGGGTAACCCAGCTCACTTAGGCTCCTAGGGATTGCACGGCAGGGATATCTGAGCACCAGTACTGAGGCAGCCACCAGAGGACCTCGCAGTCCTCACTGCCTTTGCTGCTAGAAACAATGGTTCCTAAGAATAAATAGGCAATGCATTGCAACACTCATTAAAACATTTTTTTTATTTCTGTATTATTACACAAAGGTGTTTTAGTGTCTCCAGAAGGTTTTAAAAAAAAATTAATGCATAGAAAGGTATACTTACTATACACAATATACTAATACAAACATTTGATTAATGTTAGACAGAACCAGACCAAATTGTTCAGATTTACATATAAATTCAATTAAAGGACATATTTAGGAATGGAACAAGTTTGTACTCCGGGGTTGCCTATATGTTGGCATGCTAGATGATATCTCAGTTCACCTCACTTAGCTTTTGTTTCTTACTCTTTTTCACTTTTTAGTTTCTTTCTTCTTTCTGCTCAGACAGGACTTGGAGTCTCTTTGTTGTTGCTAAATGAATAGGTTCTGATTCATAGCAACCCTGGAGAGGGTTACCTAGGAGGGGCTGCAGACCTTGTGGTTAGCAGTCCTGTGCTTGATTTGCAACACCACCCCAGGACTCTTTCTAATGAAGTTTTCATTTAAGTTCTTCTCATTTTTAACTCCAGGACTTCCATTTGATTCTTTTTTTGTAATGTCTCCTCATTGACAATCTCTATTTGATAACTATTGTCATTAAAATTTATTTTAATTCATTAAACATCATTTTCTATAGTTCATTGAATTTGTTTCTAATAGCTGCTCTAAAGCCTTTGTCTGCTAATTCTAACATCTGGATACCTTAGAAGCTGTTTGTATTGAGTGTTTTCCCCCTTGGGTATAGTTACACTTTTCTAGCTAATTGTTTATCTTACCATTGTGACTTGCCTTGACTAATTCTTCAATCTATCTTTCCTGTCATTGTGGCCACTGATGTCTTTACTTAGTTTTTCTCTCATTTGCATTTTTCAGAATGCCTTTCTGGGTGGTTATTCTAAACCAGCATAGCAATTATCCTGGGTTGTGTGTTCTGACTTCCAGACTCCTTGGAACAAGTGACTTTTCATAAGAGACTACCATGGTGTTTTAATTATCTGGATCTTCCTATTACATTCATTTGGCCTGTCTCTGATATCATCCATGTTGGTCTTTATAAATGTTTGCCACTAAGATTGTTTTAATTTTCAATAAGGCCCTTGAGCATAGGACTTTTCCAAACACTGCTCCAATTCTAATCAGCTGCCTCAAGCTCCAAAACTGAAGGGTTTGGGAACGTGAGAGCATTTAAAATGTTTTAAAATGTCAATGAAGCCTCTGTTGTTAATGAAATTCAATAGTATGTTTTGAATAAACACTCCTCCACTTGTTGCATGCCTTTGGTCAATTTCCACATTTGGAAATCTCTTTTTACTTTGACAGTTTTATATAGTTTTTCTTTGTGGGGGTGGGAGGAAGAAGGGAAATAATTTTCTGAGCAACTCTTTCTGCCATTGGGAAGTTGTTGCTGTTGCTAAGTGCCATTGAGTTGATTCTAACTCATAGCAAAGCAACCCTATATAGCATTTCCAAGAAGCAATTGGTGGGTTTGAACTGCTGACCTTGTGGTTCGCAGTGCTGTGCTGACCAGGAGCGCACCTTAGGAAGTACTTGTCTCTTATTCTAGGCCTGCTAGTGCCTGCCTGGATCAGCACACCAGCATTATAAACTTTAAAAGATAAACAAAAAAAATTACCAACTGCTATAAACATGTTATTAAAAGCCCTGTTGATGCAGTGGTTAAACATTGGTCTGCTAAACAGAAGATCTGTGGTTTGAACCCACTAGCTGCTCCGAAGATGAAAGATGAGATCATGTCTTTCCATAAAGATTGATTGCTCAGAAAATGTATTGAATGGCTCTACTCTGTCCCATAGGGTCTTTGTTTGTCAGAATTGTCTCAATGGCAGTGGGTTTTTATAGCATATTGTTTTTGTTTGTGTAATTTCACATCCTTTCTTTTCATATAAAGAAGTAGTGTGCCAAGGAGTAGAAGCTTAGTTTGCCAGCAAACACCATGTGGCTTGAAATATTGTGAGGTTGGCTTTAGAAATTACTAAAATCTATGCTGATGCCAAAGCACACTCCCTACTTTCATGGACTGTCTGTTCATTTACCTGCACACCTGTCCCTTTGGAGCCAACTTCTCAGAGAACACGGGGCTTGTCATAGCAACATCAAGAATGTCCCAATTGATTAGGTACAATATACAACAACAACAAAAAGGAATTTTAATGTTTTTTTCAATGTCAATTGAAGTCATAGAATTGTCTCATATAGGCTGTACCTAACTCCATGACACACAGTCACACCTGTTTTAGTCACATGTCAATTGTTTGTGTAAATAAGATCTATGTGTTTCTTATAAGGAGCTCTGGTAGCATAGTGGTTACGAATCGGGCTTTTAACCTCAAGGTCAGCAGGTTGAAACTACCAGCCGTTTCAAGGGGAAAAACACGAGGCTCTCGGCTACGTACCGTAAAGATTTACAACCTTGGAAACCCTATACAGGGTCGCTATGAGTAGGAACCAACTCCACGGCACATGAGCATCACCACTACCACCATGTTTTTGTTTTAACTCTTAAACTTGATTTTATGTCCTAAGAACTACCTTTAATCCTACTCATTCAGACAAGTCTCTTTCACCTTCCTTTGATGTCATCTATCAATAAATCCAGATATGGCACTGAAGAATAATGTGCTGGGTTGCAAGGTCAGTTTGAACCACAAGGTTGGAGGTTCAAGCTCAGAAACCCTATACAGGGTCACTATGAGTTGGAACAAACTCTACATCACTTATCAACAACGACATTAATAAATCATTCACATTTTTTAAAAAAACTGAACAAAGGAAGAGTGTGGTTTAAAATCAGGAAAGGTGTGCATCAGAGTTGTATCCCTTCACCATACTTAATTCAGTCTTTATGCTCAACAAATGATCTAAGAAACTGGATTGTATGAAGAAGAATGTGGCATCAGGATTGGAAGAATACTCATTAGCAAACTTTGATAGGCAGATGTCACAATCTTGCTTGATGAGAGTAAAGAGGACTTACAGAGGACTAAAGCACTTACAGATAAAGACGAATGAATATAAACGGCAATATGGATTACAACTCAGTATACAGAAAAACAAGTTTTTTTTTTAACAAGACCCATAAACAACATCAAGATAAATGGAGAAAAGATTGATGCTGTCAAATATTTAATTTTATTTGAGTCCACAATCAATACTTATGGAAGCAGCAGTCAAGAAATCAAAGATATATTGCATAAGGCAAATGTGCTACAAAGGACTGTTTAACGAGTTAAAGAGCAAAGATGGCACTTTGAGAACTAAGGTACATATGGCCCACTTCATGGTATTTTCAATCATCTCAAATACAAGTGAAAACTGACAATGAATAAGGATGACTGGAGAAGAACTGATGCATTTGAATTCTGGTGAAAAATATTGAAAGTACCATGGACTACCAGAAGAACAAACAAATTTATCTTGGAAGGAGTATAGCCAGAACGCCCTTTAGAAGTGAGGAAGCAAGACAAAGTCTCCTATACTTTGGACATGTTATCAGGAGCGAGCAGTCTTTGGTAAAGGACACTGGTGGTTGTTATTTGCTGTGGAGTCAGTTCCGACTCAATGAACGTGCACAGGGTTTCCAAGGCTATAAATCTTTACAGGAACAGAAAGCCTCATCTTTCTCCCGCAGAACAGCTGGTAGTTTCGAACTGCTGACCTTGCGGTTTGCAGCCCAATTCATAACCACTATGCTACCAGAGCTCCTTGGAAAAGGACATTACAAGATGAATTAAAACAGTGATAGCAGCAATAGGTTCAAACATGACAATTGTGAAGATGGCACAGGGCTGGGCAGCGATTTGTTCTCTTGAATACAAATGAGTCGGAACCAACTAACAAAAACAATATAAAAATATAATGAGTAAATGAAATCTTTATGTTACTGGCCACTGCTAAAAACTATTCTTTGGATATGTTTATGACTTAATGCTAAAAGATTTAAATACCCAGTGACAGAATAAATGACTACCCTTGAGAATTAGAGGCAATCTAGTGTCTAGTCTTACATAGCTCTGTTTTGAATCAAAGTCCAGGGCATAGTATAGAGGCGGAATCTGCACTAGGGAGCACCAGTCTGCACTCCTCTTTGCTGGCCTATCACCTTTCTTCGGCTTCTTAGAAAAACTGACGGAGTTGATAGTCGTATCATTTTCATTTTAGATTTCTAAACTGAGTTTTTCTTTTAGTATAATCCTTACTATTATGCAATCAGGATTTTATGTGCTATTACAAATCGGGCTGCAAACCTCAAGGTCAGCAGTTTGAAACTACCAGCTGTTCCATGGAAGAAAAGATGAGGCTTTCTGCTCCCGTAAAGATTTATAGCCTCGGAAACACTGTACAGGGTTGCTATGAGTCGGAACCGACTCCATGGCACACAAAAACAACAGCAACACCTTTTCTGAGATTGCCACTCTTTCTTTGCTTTGTGTATGTTTAATATCCATCAAAGATTGTACTTTAACTTCTGCCTTGATCTATAAATAGTTAATGCTCATTTTAAGTCAACATTGAAAGATAAGATAACACTTACTGGGAAACACAAAACTATCTTCATGTCCACAGCCACCATTTAAAGTTATTACCACCAAGCAAACTAGAACTGTCAAAATTCTAGCATTTAAACATTTTAGTATTGATCCTGCTTCATATTTAGTGCTTGCCCTCCTTGTGCTTACACCTTCTTTGAAGTATGATGGTGGTGGTTTTATGCCGTGGAGTTGGTTCCAACTCATAGCAACCCTATA